GGCACCGGCGTTGGCATCACCGTTTTGTGGGTATCGTATTACGGCGCCTCTACACGTTGGCCAACACAGTGGCGAATGTAGTGGCCAATAGCATTGGCGAACGTGTAGACGGGGTGTTTGGGCTTCATTGGTATGTATTGGAACGATAGCCCGCAAGTTGGCGCGAGATCCGTGTGGTGTCGGTTTTTTACAAAAGATCAAAGGATTGTTGGCAGAGTTTGGTCGCCGCGTCCACACGTTGGCCGCGAGTTTAGTTTGCTACAAGCTCCCAGAGTGATTACACGCATCTGATTAAAATTTTATATTCACGCTTTGTAGGGTGGATGACCCAATTACCAGCCTTTTAGTGCCAATTTCCACTTTAAAGATTCCTACTACTTTAATTCGCGCGATTTAATTATTTTTAAACATTTGTTTTAATCAATAAGCTATTTATAAAAAAAAAATTATGAACATTTATTTGCAATCAGATTATTACGAGAACAATTTTAAAATCAAAAAAAAAAATGAAGCACGTCGTTTACACGTGGTAGAACCATGCAGTTATATTAGAAGTATAGTTGTAGCACGAATGGGTCCGTTCGACCGGGGAAGGACCACGCTCTCACAGAATATCAATGTAAAATAGTAGCTTAATGATGCTGTGTTTCGTATAGTGAGTGTAGAGCACCAGAGACACTTTTAAAGGAAAAGAGGCATTTCATCTTAGTCCTCACGGGTGACAACGCATCTGCATTTTGATTCGTAATCGAAGATAGATGTAGATGTCTGTGGGCCACAGCAACCACTTACCATCAGGTGAACTGTGTGCTCGTTTGTCACCCTATCCTATATAAAAAAGCGTCGATTTCTTATAATTTAATCGTGCAAGTTTTCGAATCATCATCATCATTACAGCTCTTCACAAATCCACTACTGAACATCTTCCTTCACAGACTGCCGCAAAGCATGGTCCTGAGCCACTTTGCTCGTCATGAGTTTTTCATTTATGTTCTAAGTTATAATTAGTACCTATTATTAAGTCAGTGTTAATTATATTTATTGCTATTGTTTTTGTCTTTCTCAAAAAATAATTAAATTACCAAATAAATTATAAGGTGTTTAATACATCAAATGTCTGATAGAAATGCAAGTACATTTTTTACTAAACTTTAAAATCAAAACCCAATTTTAAAACATAGACTAATCGATTATGACTCCTTTAACTTTAAAATAAGTTAAGTTCTTATTAATGGTATTTATTCCAGTTTATGATGCATGTAAAGAATAAATAAAGCTAATCGTATATCGTATATCTATTTACAACACCATTAATATCCACTATTATTTTATAATTCTTTTATAAAAACGTTAACCCCACACTAGGATTTTCTCCCGTATCGCGCAGACAGTTTACAAACATAAATTGCACAAGGACACACATCCAGACCCGAAACAATTATTTTTAGGACATACAAGTACTTGTTCCGTGCGGGATCAAACCCGCGGCGCCCGGTGCAGCCACTCATTGCTGAGCCCCTGCGCCACGGTGATTATAAATTCGTCCGCACATTGGCTCGAACTGAAGTAAACTAAACGACCTTCCAACGTGTGGACGCCGTCACCAACTCTCGGCCAATATATTCGCCACTCCATTCGCCACTGTGTTGGCCAACGTGTAGAGGCGACATTAGACGTCACTACGCTAACACTCCTAATGTTTATAAATAATGTCCTTGGTCTAATTGAGTTATTTGTTTTAAAAATATATTTAAAATATAAGCTTGGAGTTTAAAGTTACAACTAGTGATCAGTTATGGTCGTTCTAACACTACTTTTCGAATAATTTTATGTAGAAGTTTTAATATATTATGTAATGTAATATCATAAATTATTTTAATGTAAGTATTTTAGGTAGTAAGTTTAAGAGAACAAACAGTTATATTAATCATATTGTTTTAGTTATTACTTATTAATACAACTACCGACAACCAGAAATGCAAATAGTTATCTTCAGAAGTAGCTTTAGTTTTAATCTTACTACAAATTATAAACACAGTTGCATGCTCTTAACCAATAAATTTTAATTTTCACTATGAGATATGAACATAAGATTTCTATATGACAATTATCATAACCATTTATAGTATTTTACCTTAAGACGAGATTATCGAAATAGTAAAATGAATAGTAGAAAGGCTTATATGAGTAAATGTTCTTAATGAATATCTCTATCCATAATAATTATAATTTTCAGCTGTGTAGCGAGAAACATACACATGGGTACTTTAATAGTAAATAATAATACAAATTAACAATCACACCAATACCACAGCGGTGACACTCCCTGTACGTGAGAGCTTAAGCGCCGGTGACCTTGAGTCGAAGCGTGTAACGCTAGGGTTGATATCAAACCGAAATGAAATATTATAAACTTGTACCAAAGAAGATAGATAGTAGGTATGTGTTATATATTATGTAAACTTATGTATTTGGGTAGTGAAAGATACGTTCAATTTTAAATCAACTTTTTATTAAATGAGGAAAATTAAAACTTCCGAAAAAAACAAATATGCACGACATTTCATGGTAATCTTAAATAATTAACCAACACTTACACTTACTAGTATTTCATTACGCAATAATCAGTATTACCTACTATCCTTTAAAAATAATCTATCTACTCTTATGTATTTTTGAATTTTTCGATAATTTTTTTAATTTTCATTATTATTTCTAACAATTGCAAAAATTCGTATTCGTATATTTTTTTTTAGAAAATTCAAAGGTATGCAGGTTTCCTGGGACATTGCGGCCAACAAATTGTTCCCTATGTGATGATGAGATAAGTCATTTCTATTTCTAATGAAATAATCCATAAATACAATAATGAACAAATACAAAAACTCTTTATAAATGTCTAAAATTTCTTGACTCTAATGGTATTTTAATAGTGTATATTTCAGTTAATATAATATAATAAAATTATTGGCTATATATTAGTTTTATTGTCATGGTATTTCCCCATAATTCTTGTTAAGATCATATCGACTTTCATTAAAATGAGTTCACATATTTTCAGGTATCATAAAACATTAAAAATTAAACTAACAAAACAAGGGCCCCTGTTTTGTGCAGTGGAATTTATTTTATTTCTAATTACTTAAAATCACTTTCAGTAATACTTATACTTATATGTATAATATCATTTATTTAATAACAACATTAATATTTATCAAAGCATATAAACCTAGCATACACGGCTATAAAAACTAAAAACGTTACTTGGTAACATAAACTTAATACCTACATGAATAGAATAGTAATATGTACATTAAGATATCAGTAATATTCATATATTAATTGAAATATTATATCACTTGACGAATATATTAATATTAACTAATACTGACAAATATCGGTATTACTACTAGCCCTCGGCCAGGGCAGTCGGCGACTGCCTGTTCCACGCCCCGCGCGCGGCTCAAGGCCCCCGCACACATCCAGACACCCACATATAGCCGCAAGCGATTTTACGTGCACACATGCTTAAGTGTCGTTTCTTTTCGCGTAGTGTATATATTCTTTGCCAATACACAACTATCATTTTCCACTTTTGAAAATCGTTTTAAATTATGATATTTACTTATCAATAAAAATAATGTCATGTAATTGGAAAATAAAAAAAAACCTTAAAGATAAACAGTATCACATTAATCAGTTGAAGCAAAGTCCTTCAGAAATCTTTCTGTCTTATATGTTACACATAAAACACTAAGCGTAATACTTTAAAAGAAAAGGAAAAAGCTTTATTACCACTAAGGTAGAGTTTTTAGCTTTAACATATTTTACATTTAAGTCGTAAGTAATGATTATTGGAATAAAATTCAATTTTTTAGTCGAGTTCAATAATATCGTCGATATCCTCGATGTCAAAGTCCTTCAGCGTCAGTTTTTCTGTAAAAATAATTAAAATGTTAATAAAATATTAGTTTTTTATTGGTGATGGCAAATGTTTGCTCAAGATAAAGTGGTATTAATGTCCCTGGATAGAAGATACTTTTGTTTAAAAAAAAACAACTTTTTACGTTGTCCTAAGAGACTGCTGTGTCTTATCCGACTTGCATATTATTATTGAAGAAAGACTGAAAAATGAGAAGAACTCGAATCTTAATTAAGATTAAAAGAAGCTAAAACACCCAATCACGCAAGGATGGTATTCATTACATCCAGTCCGTCTTTCGGTGGCTCATACAATATGAAACAATGATAAAAACTACAGGATGTTTGAGGGAGATTTTACGCTTTGCAGATGATTCCGCGAAGATCAAACTAAACTCTAAACCACCAACCATTTAAACACATAAAAAACTTTCATCTACATCTGTTGAGCCTTAGTGCGACCAACGGACAGCAATTCATTCGTATATATAGATATTTAATATTGCATCTCTGTCATCATCTGCCAAAATTAAATCGGAGTGACTGATCTCTTTGCAAGATAAACAGAAACGTTACTGACATTCCAAATCACACTAGATATTTCAAACAACTTTTTAAAGTATATCTTAAGGTATTTATATTAGCTCATAGTTGGACCCGTGTCATGAGCCTTTCCTGGCAAATTGACTATAATCATCACACTTGGTTGGCGGATTAGCGGTGAAAGTAAAAATCTATAAGGCATTTCTCTAAGTCTCCTCCACAATACCCATCTGTGGCCAACCCGTCCCCCGTCGTAGTGATTGAGTCTCACATGCTGCTACTGCTGTGTGTCCTCAAGGTACCGCCTGAGCTGGATGTTAATAATAGATTCCATTATTTTAGAGAATAAGGAGGTGATAGCGATAGGCCTATAGTTGAATGGATCAGAGCGGTTACCTTTTACAATACCCATCTGTGGCCAACCCATCCCCCGTCGTAGTGATTGAGTCTCGCATGCCGCTACCACACGGCAGTACGTTAGATTTTATTTATCGTCAATCAGCAATATTCAGTTTCACACGAGGCCTACTGTGTAGTGGCTGTGTAAGCATATCCACGGACCCATGTCGACCCGTGGCTGTTGTAAGAGCCGGCACAAGGAAACGGAACTAAGAGATGGCCAGCAGTATCTTCCCAACTTCCCTCGTCTTCAACAAGGCGCCAAGCCACCTGCCAAGGATGGCAACTGTGGCAAAATCTCTTCTATCTTATGTTCATCAGTGGACTTTGCTCGGAGTAATGGATGGAGAATGGATATCCTCCATTCTCTATCCATTTCATTATCAAAAAGACTCATATTGATTAAAGACTCACAATATGAGTCCTTTTCATAATGACAACTCTATAACAAAAATACTCTATTGCTACGAAAGACTTTCTTTTAAGATCAACATGGCTATATATTACTCATTTCAAAACATGTGTTAGATTAATTCATCTACAGACGCAGAAACTAAAATGTGTACTTCTTAAAAAAAATCTCCCTATCAAGAAGAAAACAGAGAACTTCCTAAGAATAAGCTATTCTAGACCTGGAACAAGAGCTATAAATTGATTATTAAAGAAAGCAAAACAACTACTAACTTAATGACTCCTGTTTTATTTTTTTAGCTATTTCCGACGATACGGTCGTCTTCTGTCTTTTCTTAGTGTCACTCGCTTTGGTGTCCACTGTTGCTATGAAGTCATTACTTCTACTGGAAAAAGCACCCCTGATAAAAGCATTGAAGTAATATGTACTTACGTACTAGAACAGCTATCTCGAGCAAAAAATGTACGCTACTGTGTTCGCGCGGTTGGGTTTTTTATCATAGAATAAACATATGTAGAATGACCCGTAGATAATAGTTGATTGCATTGTTAAATAGGTAAATTATATCGAGAACAATATTTAAATGTCGTCATTTATTTTGTATATTTTATTTGCTTATTTAATATAATATGACATAATATTATATCAAAATTACATTTTAATGATATTTTTATCCGAATATTTTAAAAGGTATCTATGTCAAATATAAAAAACATACTGAATGTATGTTTAACAAAACTTATTAACATAACATTTATATATATTTATTCGTATTTATCAAATATATTTATTTGAATTAGAATAATAGTCGTTCATAAATGCTGGGCACGCGAGAGATAAAAATGGACAAATTTATTCCACTTTGACTTTGATGTGGAAACTGTGGAATTTCATAATCTATATTCCATGACACGAGATGGCGTCTTAGGAATAATTTGTTTTATTATTAATCTATAATACTTTTTTATTGATTAAGTATCTTATTAACCGATGAAAAGTAATTCCTTGATTTTTACTGACATTTCTTGAATTATTTGTACAATATCTAAGCACATACGACGGCATATATTTAAAAAAAACATCAAAATCGATTCAAAAATAATCAAAAATTTTCTTGTGTGATGAAACGTATTCTAAGTTTGAGTCCAAGTAACACTAATTTGAATAAAAAAGAACCATCAAAAACGGTAGTAGGTAGTTAAGTTTCGTGTCCTATCTGTATGGTTCACTTTTCATAATCTTTCATACAGAAATGGCAGCAATGTGGCAGCGGCAGTAAATAATATTATCAAATATTAATTTAGTGGTTTTTAGCACGTTTTGTTTTCTTACCGGTGATAGGTCACTCCAACATCTTTTTTCTTCGAAGTTGAAGCGTTTTTGCACGTTTTTAAGACGCACGACGGCATTTTTTTAATTTTCGAGTAGTCACAATCTAGACACGTTGAGTCGCTGAGCGTAGGAGAGTGACCAGGCTCTACAATCTTAGAACATAAAACTTGGAAACCTACGAAATGCTATTATGCAAAATTAAGACGCACTTAGTAAACTATTTAAAACCATATCTATTGACTACTTTTTATTTTAGTCGTATTATAAAATCGTATTTATTCCAACTTACAATAATAGGTGACACTGTTCGAAATTTCAAGCGAATAATTCGTTCATCACATACTAGATGTCGTCACTACATAGGTAGTGGCGACATCTAGTATGTCTCATCTATCAGGTAGCTTTACAAAATCTTTAAAAAAAAATAGTTCTATTTAGTAGAAAATAAGTGTAACAGAAATTAAGATATTTGCTTTTGTTTAACATTAATATAAAATCTGTAATGAAAATTTTTGAAATTTTCTTATAAATAAATACTGCTTACATATGCTTTCGTAAAACTATTCATTAAAAAAATCCAGTAACTAGATGTTTTTGATATTTTTTTGAAACTGAATCTGGCAGCACAACAACCTGCCATTATGGAATAGTTGTTTCTCGATATTGGAGTTGCGAATAACTAATATTTTATTTTATTTGGTGGAGTTGCTCCTATTTTATGAAAGTGTTTTTATGTTATTTTTTTTTGTTTTATTTTATCTATTATATTATTTACGTTGAATTGAGCTACCTATTATTCTTACAACTTCATTTCCAACGATTTGTTTTTTTGTGATATCTTGTCTCCATTGTTACATAGAATAAATAATTTAAATAATTATGTCAGATAAGCGTTGCTGTGTCCCCGGGTGTAAGGACAGTAAGGGTAAGTCATCTCGTCTCCAAGCAACTTGCATCAAGGGCATTATTTGTCTTAGGCTTTAACACATAAGTATGACTTTTTTTAAATGTATCTTGTAAATATTTTAGGCAAGCTAGTTCTTCACAGATTTCCAAACCCAGAAAAGGAAAGTGAACGATTTAGGGTATGGATTTATGCAATTGGCGGTGATATACTAGGCCTCGAAAATATGCACATATTCAAGTATCGCCGTGTGTATCACTCACATTTTGAAGAAAAATTTCAATGCAGAAATAACAGAATTAGTAACATTGCTGTGCCAACTTTGAATATGCCAGGTTTGTCTTTATAGATTACAGAAAAAGTAAATATGTTATAGAATTAATTTAGGACAGTATATTATCAATGACATGTATAGTTTTATTGTAAAATATGTCTAATTGAGTAGGTACCTACATAGCATTAATTTTTACAATGATTCATTCATTAAATAAATAGAATAAAATGAAATATTACTTATATGCACTATAGAGCTTAAAAGGATAATACATGTAGCGATTCCGGCTGACAGAAGGATGAGGATATGATAATTAAGCCTAGTTTTCATAAATATTAAGTTGGCAATGTGTTATCACCCCACTTTTTCTACTTTTTTCATTAAATAATGTTATATATTATTATTATATTGTGAAATTATACTTTTTGCAAGTCATCACAGATACTGGGCCTGTTTTTTATTGCCATATATATAAATAATTTCAAATTTTAAGAAAATCCTATTATTTTCTTTTAGCTACATTATCAAATAAACCAGCAGTTATGAAAAGAAAACCCATGAAAGAAATTTTGAAGCTAGCAGAACCGTCAACATCAACAGGTACTGATATATATGATCATATATGTATTATCATGATTACAGCACATCACAAGTCCACAGCTGAACATAGTATGTGACCTTTTCAAGGGGACTTAATATACATATGAAAAAATGTTAATTTATTTAACTAAAAAAAAGAAAGAAGTTTCCAGTAGAAAGGGTTGGGATGATACAGAAGTTCCTAAATTTGGATTGACTTAACTAAGAGTCTAAAATATATACTATATATTGTTATATGATAACTAAAAATCCATAAAATTAAACACAATACACAATATAATGGAATAATCTAACAAAATTATAAAACTTATGTACATGTTAAATAACTTTAATAAAATTTTAATAAACCTAGAAAAATCTCTACAAATATAATGGAATAATCTAACATAAAATTTATAAAACTTATGTACATGTTAAATAACTTTAATAAAATTTTAATAAACCTCAAAACTAATAAAAGAGATGATTGCCTTCAGATGGCTGAACGGCTTATCTCTTGATCAAGTCACCTGTCAACAAAAAAAGCTAAATTATATTCCATCTGTTTGGCCACTATGATGCTTTAGACGGACACACAGATACAAATGTTTAATTTATAACACCCCTCTGTTTTTATCTTTTAAATTCAAAAATGCATTATTTTAACTGATATTACTGTGCACGCACTCATTTATAAGGGTCAATCTGTAGACAAAAACATGGTGTCCCATAAATCACGTTCAATTTGGAATAGATGCAAATAAAATTAGAAGCCTTACTTGCTCATATTTACAAAAACTGCAATAATGGTTTATCATTTATATATTTGAACTTAATTTAAAATTTAGCTACTCTTTAAACAATAACCTGTATACTGCACAAAGTAAATTACAGTTAAATTCTTTTTCAATTTAACAATTAAATAACTATGCAGCTGTGACTGTGCACTTGAATATTTGCAGCGCATTGCCTGGCAGGGTCGCCATGTAATGTTGGTAAAGATGTTAACGAGAGGAGACACATTGATCCGTCTATTACTTAATTAAACAATTAGTCAGAATTTTGATGCCATTTATTAACAGTTTCAATTTATTGAACATAAGATATAAACTTTTATTATAATACAAAAAAAATTTGAATTTATGAAATAGTAGAATAGAATACTTTGGTTCTATGTTTTTAATAAAATTCTTAAAACCTATATTTGGTAGAGCCACGCTGCAGCTAAATAATAGTTGTAGCACAAATGGGTAGGCTTGACCGCCATAGGACCACACTTCCACATCAGAATACCAGCTTATAGTATAGTATATAGTAGTTTAATGCTGCTGTGTTTCCTATGGTGAGTGTAGAAAAATGGAGACCTCTTTGTTTCAGGCTTTCCACATTCTAAACTTAACACTGTATTGTTGTGGGAGTTACACTCAATCCACTGAGAAACACCCATTTCTCCTAACCCCTAGTGATATATTTATTTTGGTTCTTTAAATCTTTTCTTCTTTTGAATTATGAATTTCGTTTCAGATCATTACTCTGAATGCTCGGTACATCAATTACATACAAAAATGGAAGGAAATACATCTCACAAAGAAAATCTTGGTTAGTCAGAATTTTGATGGCATTTATTAACAGTATCAATTTATTGAACATAAGATATAAACTTTTATTATAATACAAATATATATATATATATATATATATATAATATATATATATATATATATATATGTGTGTTGTTTGCCGAAGTTGATCCGATATACAAATCCACCTTGCGATGGTTACGGAAAATGTTGATCCGATTTAAATGAGCCAATCAGAGCACAGAAAATGATAAGACAAACGATCGGATTGGCTGAAAGCAGCCGCGACGTTGCCGTTTCGTATCTTTGGCGGTACAAGCTACAGATTAAATGCGTGTTCAATACAATAAAGCATTCAGGGTGCTGTTGGGTCTGCCTCGTTACTGTAATGCGCCGGGTTTGTTTGCGGATGCGCGTGTGGATTGTTTCTACACCACCATGCGTAAACGATGCACATCCCTGGTGCGTAGGGTGCGGGCCAGTTCTAATGGTATCCTGAGGGCATTTTCTGACAGGTTTGAGGTCATTACCTGAACCATTGTCATATGGTGTACGTGCTGACTAATTGGACCTGTCTTAAATATAGTTTTAAATAAATAGTTTTAAAATTAAGTTAATAGTTTCAAGTTTAACTAAAATTAGTTTTAAGATTTGTATTATTACTAACATCTATGATCCTTATAGTCGAAATAAACGACTTTTTTGACGAATAACTCGACAACGACAAGGTATTCGCACAGGTAAGAATAGAATTAGAAATTTAGAAAATGAAATGACAACTTTTCAATATTGTTGGATGCTTTCATAAATATTTATTTTATTCAAATATACAATATGTAACGTAATTAACGCACATATGTTATACGTTATATATTGTTATAACGTGGTAGAGGCCACGCTCGCAGTTAATATTAGTAGTATAGTTGTAACACGGTGGTTCGCTCGACCGAAAAGCTAGTCCTCACGGGTGACAACGCATCTGCATTTTGATTCGTAATCGAGGATAGATGTAGATGTCTATGGGCCACAGCAACCACTTACCATCAGGTGGACTGTGTGCTCGTTTGTCACCCTATCCTATAAAAAAAAACACCCTCAGACAAATAATAAGTAATACATACCTGAATTTTAGTTAAACATTTTTATGCACTGATTATTTATCAAATTAGTTATACTAATTCCGGAAGAATGTTGTGGTCACAGTACAAATCCACGAACGCAAAGACTTTAACGTGCTTGAAATAAAGTTCTTTATTTTTATTGAATGAAGAATTAGTAATAACACTAATAAAACTGCCCTCTTAAAAGTCTTATTGCCTTAAGTTATGGTCCATTTCAGTTTGTTTTGACTGTACTGATTTAGTGTGACTGTAATTTACGTAGTTTTAATTATTTTTGGGATAAAAAATTACTTATATTAAAAACTAGCTGCTGCCCGCGACTTTGTACGCGGATGATGTTGCTTACGCCAGCGACAACGGGGTCGTCAAAATCGAAGATCTAAAACGTCTGTTTTCGAATCCTAAGAGCCCGGGGACGGGAAAACAACGTGATGTGCGAGACGATTCGAGACGTTCCAGAGTCGTAATTGGCGCTGCGTGCTAGTTTCTGCGGACAAACTTAGTGCATTACGCTCACGGTTAGCACCTAGCCGTTGTTCACGCTCTGCGTGGGTTCGAGAGAAACTACTGCTACTACTAACTAACCTGCGCATCTTAAAAACCCTTGAGTTTCGAGACA